ATCTATCTATCATCTATCTATCTATCATCTATCTATCTATCTATCTATCTATCTATCTATCTATCTATCTATCTATCTATCTATCTATCATCTATCTATCATCTACCATCATCACCTATCTATCATCTATCTACTACTTATCACCTCCTATCTCACATACTCTTCTTATAATGTGATAATCACTCCCTCTTTTGTATTTAGGGGGCTTGTTACCACAATTGGTGTGGTGATTTTTGAGGCTGGGTCAGGAAAGGTGATGGGCTTTCACCTGGTGCTCATATTTCTCTCTCTCTTTCTCTCTCTCTCTCTCAGAAGACTTGGGAATCATGAACTACGTGTAAGAAGTCTTGCCACCTGAGCGCCCTGGTTGTGGTACCTGGTAGAGAGACCACGCAGAGACAGAGTTGTCCAAGGAGTCCCAGCTGCCCCAGCCTGCGCCTGTTTGAGATGCCCCCAGAGTCAGCCGCCAGCGGACTGAAGATACTCTATCTGATTCACTCTTATTTCTCCAAGGACTAGTTCTGTTTCTAGTACATAATAGGTGCCAGAATGTAGTTGTAGACTAAATGAATAAAAGTGAGTTTTTAAATAAAAGGCATATGCATTATATGGCTTTGTACTTCCACTGCGTAACTGTGTCTGGTGAACAGCAGGTGCTCGAAATGTTGGCTAAATGAAGTGGTTCAGCAGATTCGAGGTTTTAGCCAAAGTCCTAAAAAGTAGCAGTTTTATGGAAAACCATAAGCTTAAGTATCCCCCAAATGAACATATTTCTTTTAAAGCATCTTTAAGAAATGAAATGCCCTTGCATTCTGGAGGGAGCAGAGATATTTTCATTTTATGTCTAATGAGGGATAAGATGTACTTTTGGCTTTTTCTCATTTGAAAGCCAATGCATTCACTTACAACACTGACCTACCAGTTATTTGGAAGTAAAATTAAACTTAGAGCTATCTTTCTATTTCTCTGACCTCTATTTCATGTTGAAAGAAAAGAGTTTGGATCCCCATGTTTTCACACCCAGTGAAAAGTTCTGAGACTGGAAATCTACCTTCTTAAGTGGAGGGCAGGGAAAGAACAAGGCTGGTCACACCAGCCTGGCAGTTATCAGAGGTTATTACGAAGGGAAACTTACATACCAGGCATGTCCTGGGCGGCTGTAAGATGAAATGGATGCCCACACCACTTGGCACGTGCCAAGGCATTGCATGGGGTAAAAGGGGCACTGGTCACAGGTACGAGTACATGAGCGCTGCCAGGTACGGGACATTACTTTACACTCTTGACCAGGTCAGGACGACAACATGTTCCAGGACCTAACACATAACAGGAGGCAAGGGAAGCCTGCTGATTTATATCAGAATGAACATCAAGTATGATCAGACATCTCTAAGTGGGGTTTGTGGAAAGCAATCTCTGTCTGGCCTAGGTCCAGACAGTGATCACGTCATGGAGCAGTCTCTCCTCCACACCATGTTCAAACTCCCGGGTTGCTGGAGGCTTGGTGTGAAGAAGAGGTAGCCATGCAGGCCAGGGGGAATATGTTTACTCACCTTCATTTCCATGACAACTTGGCTGGTGTCAGATTATCCAAGAACGATGCTCTCGATAGCCACAAGATCAGAGAGTGACCACCTTGTCCAATCCTCTCATTTCATAGTTGAGGGAAATGGAGACGTAGGCAGGTGAAATGTCTTGCCCACAGTTACACAGTTATTGGCAGAGTTAGAACTAGATACCAGTTGTCTAGAATCTAAGCATCATTATCATTTGCAACATGTTATTGTTGTTCATAAGCCACTGAAAGAGTTTACTGCAGATTTTGGGGGAATAGTGGTGGTGCTTCTCTCCCCTACTTTTTTTGTGATATCAGGCAAGAAACCCTACATATCCTGGGCTCAGCCTATCACAAGTGTACCCAGAATAACAGGTGAGGGTCCCCATCACCTCCAAGCAGTGCACACAGGAAGAGCAGGTTTCCTGGGCACTGGCTTGTCTGCTTATTTAAGAATTCTCTCACGTTCAGAATGGTCAAATTCCAATAATCATGACTAAACATAGCCATGTGGCTATAGCTAGACATTGCTATCCAGGAGAGGCTGATACGGCAGAGAAAGGGCAAATCGGGTGCCCTGAGCCTTCTATTTGAGAAACGTTGCAAGTCCATGTTTAATTAAGACTCTCAGGTGTGAAGTCTGTTTCTTTGCCATTCTCCTTTCAGGGCACAGCTTCTTTCTGGTGTTTTGAAAAGTACACTTTCATTGTCCCCGAAGTCTCTATCTGTTAAGGTTCTTTGATAGCAAAGTTGATTAACCAGCTCTGGCTAACTGAGGAGGAAGCGATTCTGTGGAAGGCTCACAGGGCTCCTCAGCAGGTGGAGACTGTGCGATGCCAGCAGGAGCCCTGTGGCCAGGGGGCTGTCCCAGGTCCCAGAGCTCCTTGGTTTAAGCTCCCTTGTCTCTGTTTAAGGTTTGCAGTCCAGGCTGAGAGCATCTGGCTGATCTGGACTGAGCCTCTAGATTCAAGTGAGTGATTCTAGCTCAGGAAAGCAGGGCTCTGATCATACCCCATCTTCGTTTGTGTTCCCTGAAAAGCAGACCATGACAAGGATTCAGGTACAAGTAGTATCTCTGGGGGTGAGGGCAGGGGGAAGGTGAAACAGGGAAGGGAAGGCAGCCAGGCGCTAACCATGTCGGCTGCCACACTATCCCACAGGGGAACTCGGAGCCCATGTGGAACACATACTTCAGAGTATCACATCCACGGGCAAGGGGGCTGGGATTTCTGCCCAGTGGGTCTCCTCAGTGATTGTTTGATAGCTGTTTGGGGAGGTGAAGGGAGTCCATCCTCAGGCACTTCAGGAATGCCACAGGTAGGAGCAAAGTGGTCTAAAAAAAGAGAAACAGGCTGGCAGCTGGAAGCTGAGCAGTCTTTCACTAACATGGTGTATTAGCTTCCTATTAATTCCTACCATTTCCTTATTAATTTCCTGATTACCACAACCTTCGAGGCCAAAGATACAAGTTTTTATATTGCAGGTCGGAAGCCTAATATCAAGGTGATGCAGGCGGCATTCTATTTGGAGGCCTCAGGGGGGTCCACTTCCTGGTCTCTCCAGCAGCCACCCCCATTCCTGGGCTCAAGGTCCTTCCCCCGTCTTCAAAGCCAGCAAAGCAGCATCCTCTCCCTCTGCCTCTGGCTCTCTCTCTCTTTCATGTGGCCTTCTCCTCTGTCACCCACTTGTTGCCTTCTCATAAAGACCTTCGTGATTACATTGGGCCAACAGGATATTTCAGCTGAATCTTCCCATCTCAAGGTTCTTAACTTAATCACATCTGCCAAGCCCCTATCTGCTATGTAACATAACACACTCACAAGCTCCAGGAGTTAGGGCAGGACATCTCTGAGGGACAGTGATTCAGCCTACCACACAAGGTAAGGCTTCAGGCTGCCAGCCTTTACCTGGGGCCAGGCGGGGCCTGTGGGGAAGGGGACAGAGACTGACCAGCCAAGGAAGGACAAATACCTTTTATAGAAATTATTTTCTCATTTTTCATAGAAGGGCTTTTCCTCCCTGCTCTCTCTTCTTGGTTTAAAACAAAGTTAGGTGCAGGAAAATCAAAGGCTTCATGTCTCTGATCTCAGACCTTGGACTGTGAGACCCACTAAAGACCCTGCAGGATCCTCAAACCGATTCCCACGCAGCCGAGGGCAGTTCTGGTCGCTGACACCCCCGCCCCTTGTCCAACTGAGAGCTTGTTTGCACCCATTTCGACCATCAGCTCCAAACTGACAACTTGACTTCCAGATCAAGTACCCAGTCACACACACACAACACAGAGTTCCCTAAATATTCGCTGAAAGAAAGAAGGGGGGAGGATGCCCATAATGATGGAGCCCAGTGTGTGAGTGTGTGTGTGTGTGTGTGTGAGTGTGTGTGTGTGTGTATGTGCTCACATTCAGTTCCTCTGACATCATGGCAAACTCTGCCTATAAACAAAGAGGTGCAGCTGGCCTGAAATCTAAGCAGAAGTGAGTGGCACTGAAATTTTCTCAGGTCATCCTTTGGCAGATATACCCCCCCCCCCCGGTCCCC